TTTTTTTTTTTTGAGTTGGAGTCTCACTCTGTTGCCCAGACTGGAGTGCAGTGGCCGCTCCTGGCCACCGCAGCCTAGACCTGCTGGGCTCCCGCGATCCTTCCGCCTCAGCCTTCCAAGTAGCCGGAACTACAGATGCGCGCTACCACACCCAGCTAATTTTTTGATTTATTGTAGAGAGGAGGTCTTGCCAAGTTGCCCAGACGGGTCTCGAACCCGCGGGCTCAAGCAATCCACTCACCTCAGCCTCCCAAAGGCGCGGGATTACAGGCTGAGCCACCAAGTCCGGCCAAGTAGATAAGACTTCTAATGGTGATAGATGTTTTGATGGAAATAATAAGGATCACATAATAACAGTTGATGGGAAGAAGCCTGTTTTAGATGAAGTGGTTAAGGAGGGCCTTGTGAAGAATGTGACTTAGATCAGGGTTGAATGACAAGGAGGCCATTGAATGGGAAGAACTGAAGGCAGAGTTCCAGGCAAAAGGAACACCAACTACAAAGACCCAAAAGTGGGTGCGAGTTTACAGTGCTCTGAGAAAATTAAGTTAATGAGTCTTGAATTTAGTAAGATAAGTGAGTACTAGGAAGGACTTCAAAGGATCCTTGTTATATAGGGTTTTAGTGATGAGTAGACTTCTTGGAAGGAAGCCACTGGGGAACTTTGAGTGGGGTGAGATGTGATCTACTAGGTGTTGTGAAAAGAATGGATTGTAGAGAGCCAAGAGTGAAGCAGAGAGATCTCTCAAGGGGACTGTGGAGGTAGAACTTGAGAGAGAAGGAAGGAGGGGAGGACCCAGCTTTTTCTGACTTGAGTGAGTGAGGGTAGATGTTGCCATTTCAGAGATAAGGGACATTGGAAGGGCTGCAGGTTTTAATAACATAAGTTTCTTTTCAGATGTGTTGAGTGTGAGGTACTTAATACATCCAAGGGAGGATGTCTGTGGGATATATGTGTATGGCTTTTGTATTAAGGAGTTTAGGCCAGGTGCAGTGGCTCACGCCTGTAGTCCCAGCACTTTGGGAGGCAGAGGTGAAAGGATTACCTGGGCCCAGGGGTTCAAGACCAACCTGGGCAACTTGGTGGGATCTCATCTCTACAATAAATCAGAAAAATTAGCCGGGCGTGGTACCACATACTTGTAGTTCTAGTTACTTGGAAGGCTGAGGCAGAAGGATCGTGTGAGCATGTCACTGCTTGGGCAAGAGTGAGACTCAACTCAAAAAAAGAAAAAGAAAAAAGAGTTTGACTAGAGCTGGAACCAGATGAAATTGAAGCTGTGGAAATGGATGAGGGTGTGTAGGAGGCAGGGCAGAGCATAGAAGGGTTTAGGGCCAACCTCTGAGGAACCCCTGCCTTGAGTCCCATGGATTAGCCTACCTGACAATAAGGCTTGGTCTGGTGGTTCACCTTATTCTAAGCACTTTGATTTCATATTTTTCTTTTCTGAGTAGCAGCTCAAAGTCCCACAAAAATGGTTCCTTAGAAAATAGAAACAATCCAAAGCAGGACCCAGTGTTCCATACATCCACTTCTGTGGAAAGATTTGATGTTTATGAAGTGGGGAAATTTGAATATGGCCTGGGTATGAGGTAGTGTTAAGAATCATTGTTGGCCAGGTGCTGTGGCTCAGCCTATAATCCCAGCACTTTGGGAGGAAGAGGCAAGAGGATTATCTGAGCCTGGGGATTCGAGGCCAGCCTGGGCAATTTGGTGAGACCTCGTCTCTACAATAAATCACAAAAACTAGCCAGGAATGGTGACGTGCATCTCTAGTTCCAGCTACTTAGAAGACTGAGGCGGAAGAATCGCCTGAGCTCAGCAGGTCGAGACTGTGGTGGCCATGAGCATGTCACAGCACTCCAGCCTGGGTGACAAAGAGTGAGACTCCAACTCAAAAAAAAAAAAATCATTGTTAATTTTATTGGATATGATATTAGGGGTGGTTTTAAAAGTTTTTAATGGCGAGAGATGCTTTACTAACATCTTCCCTTCTCCCTTACTTCCTCTTTCCCTCCCCTCTCTCGGCTTAAGCAGTGAATATTACTAGTACATAATTCTTGAGACAAAAGAAGGGACTGACATGGCATGAGGCAAGGTGAGCAGAAAGAGAAAGTAATCAGAGATTTGAGGTTCATAGAAGATTGTGAAATAGTTGATTCAAAGATTGTGAAGACAGTATTGCTGGGCACAGTTAGGACCCAGTTTAGGTTGGTAACCATAGCTTAGAGTATTAAGAAGGAATAAAATGGAATCTAGCCTACATGGAGAGAATGGGATAGGGGATTGAAGTCCAGTGAAGACAGGACTGTTCCAGTAGTAGTGGTTATAATGACAGCCCAAAAGGAAAGGGTTGGGTCCAAGCTTGGCATATGTGAATTAGCAATTTTGGAGGCACAGTAGTTTTGGGTAATAAAAGATGCAGTCCAGTAACTGACAGATCATATCTGCTAAGACACATTTTGTTTGGCCCAAATAATTTTCCTAGGTTTGACTTATTAGTCAGAATCATAAGATTCTCCATACAAATTGGATTTCTGGCTTGAGAGGTGATCTGATAAAATGCTGAGCTGGCGTTCCTGAAGTCCTGAGTGGCGACATCCCTGTGGAACTGAGCCGGACTAAAGGCCTCTTAGTTATGCTTCAGTTCTCATCACTCATGTTACCTGTATGCACCCTGGAGGGGAATGAGTTTGCAACTGTCCATGGGTCTATGGAATGATTGGGAATACAGGGCTGAAGGAACAAGGAGGCCACTGAGATGATACTGAAGGATTGTAAGGCCAGGGCTTGTCCAGATGTATGTCTGAGTGAGCACTAAAGTGGCTAAGTAAAGAGGAGGAGATAAATGCACAGAAAGAGTAGTTCTAGTACCTCCCATTGCTGAGGGTAGTGTCCACCTGACCTCTGCACATCTGTGTGCAGGAAGGTAGGCAAGTGATGAAACCACATATCGAAGTCTCAGCAAGACAGCAGTGAAGTAGCGGCTGGAAGGTAGTACTGGAAAACCAGAGGACGTTGTGACAGATAGGAACTAGAGGACATCAAGATGATAAGCTAGAGGCAAAGAGGATTCTAACATTTTTTACCTCAGAAATGAGAAGAGTGGTACTACCAGGGTGGAAAGCAGCTGGAAGGTGAACTAGTTCTAGCAAGAAGACTGAGACCATCCAGTAAACTTGTCCTGTAAGCAGTTGGAAATGTGGGACATGGACTAAAAAGATCTATCTCATAGGATGGTATGAGAGTTAATCTACAAAGTCTCTGGCAGCTCGAGAAATGTTACCTTGTAACTTTCTTTAGTTCACAAATTATGGAGGGAAATCTTCCATTTAAACTAGGATTTTTTTGTGCTTTCTTTTATTTGCTATATGGAAAACAGTGTTGATAAATTACTGCTGATTAGTTGTTTCTTGTTTGTACTATAGTCTATATTTTTCAAATATAATTGATGTTGGTTTAAATACAAAGTCCCTTAAGTTTGTCTTTGGTTATAGAGGTAAAATAATCCCATTTGAAATGGAAACAAGTGACTACACTAGGGAGTTGGCATATCTCTGCATTTGAAATTGTCCTTAGGAGACAATTTGGTATACAACTTGGTATACTCAGCTTTGTGATCCAGAGCTGGGAAACTGGGAGGGCTCAACCTGTTTATAGTGAGTGAACAGATTTGTTCACTAGTGAGAACAGTTGCAAAGAGATTTTTGTGAGAGTTTTTCAGCAATGCAAGAGAGAAAGAACATCAGGACATTTTACTGCTAGATGTGAAGAAAAGAATTTTTCGAAATGTTAGAAATATGAGACAGATTTAGTTTAAATTAAATTGTGGCAGGGGAGGAGATATAACCAACCCTCAAAATCTATTTAAATTGCAAATTTATAGTGGCTAGAAGCCATGTGGTAATGTGTTATAATGCTTTATATGTTGTGGCATTCAAGAACTCAGTATTAATGCAATTTAAATGAGGATTATGACAGTTGTGGAAAAATTTAAACTTGACATTCATTCAGAATTGTTGTTTGCAGTATATAGCACAATTATGTAATCGAGCAATTAAGATTCTTTTTCTTACATTTTTCAGAACTAACATATGTTTTCAGCAAAAGGCAGATTAAAGAGATGAAATAGTGATATGATGAATGCTGCAGGGTTCTCAGAGACAACTCCTTGGCTAGCCTTGAGGTGCTTCCTCCCCAGCCGGACCTGCACCTCACACCCCTTCCCTGGTCTTCCAAGTGGAGAGGGTTCCAGGCTGATAGCCATCTTCATTCCTAGCCAGAGCTCTCATCCTGAATCTCCATCTGTTCTCCCTTAACTGGCTAGGTCAGCAGTGGAGGGGACCCTTTTTAACTGAAGCCTGTAGTAGAAACAGCTGTAAGTTGCCTCCTGTCCCCTCAAGCCTTCCTCAGCCCTCTAGATCCAGATCACTCGCTGCAGATGGCATACCCTACTGAGTCCTTCTGGCCAGTCTGTGAGAAGTAAGAGTGCTGAGAGGATCAGCTTCTGCTTCCATGCCCCTGTCCTAATATCTATTCCCATGTTTGTGTATGTCCTTCATCCTTTCCAGAGCTCCCTTGGATCTGGGGTTGGTAAGTGCAGAGAGGGAGCAGCATGTGGCAAACAACTAGTTCAGCCCTGTTTGTTTGGCAGGCATTTATTTCCTTATTGGCTATAAAATTTTCATGGGTTGTATGTGTCTGTGGGAGAATAGGTAATGTGCAAAATTTTAAAATTCAAGTGATACCAAAGGGCCTAGAGTGAAAGTTGAGCTCCCTTCCCCTCAAACTCCCGTTTACCATCTCAAGAAGCAGCTGCTGTTACTTAGCAGATTCTTGTATAGGGCTTGTGGCTGAGCTACACGTAGGCAAGCAGGTGTGTTTGTGCCTCCTCATCACATGCTTTCCTGTAGAAATGTTAGCACACCAAATGCTGTTATCTTAAAAATTTGTTTAAAAAACATTTTTCTTCTTAGAACTCAGTTGAGGTTTTTCTGAAGTCTTGGATCTCCTTATTGAGATGTCTTATCTGTAAGGTGATTTCTAAAGACAGATGTGCCCATGCTCTTGAATTTGACTTAATTCAATTCTAAACTCAGTTATTTATCACTAAATCCGAAGCCAGTTACCCTTGCAGATCATATAACCTTTGCATTTTGGAGTCTATTTAAGTAAAAAAGATAGGTGTTAGATTCATGTTTGAGATTTTGGTATAATTCTTGTGTATATTAGAATTGTATTTCTAGAGTTTTGTTTAAATGATAAATATACTTTTTTTTTTTGAGCTGGAGTCTCACTATGTCACCCAGGCTGGAGTGCAGTGGTACACTCACGGCCACTGCAGTCTCAACCTACTGGACTCAGGTTATCCTTCCACCTTAGCCTTCCAAGTAGCTGGAACTACAGGCACACACCCACACTTAGCTAATTTTTGGATTTATTGCAGAGATGAGGTCTTGCTAAGTTGTCCAAGCTAATCTCGAACCCTTGAGCTCAGGCAATCCTCTCATGTCGGCCTCCCAAAGATAAATATACTTTTAATAGGGTTAATTTGTATGGATTGAGTTGTAGTAAAATCTATTTGTCCTAGTTTCCATGACCATAAGAAGTTGGTTTCAAATTTTTGTTACTTGTGCATGTTGAACAAATCTCATTGTGTCTCTTGTTTTAGTAGTGCTGTATAGGATATAACAAAAATAACTTACAATGTGATACTCTGCTTGGTAGGCATCTCTTGGTCACCTTCTCTTCCCTTCCCACCCCTCAGCATGCACAGAACTTTCAGCTTATAGCCTGTCATTGTGAAACAGAACGAACTAGAACAGAAATAGTCTGGTTTGAATGATTTTTCTGTAACTTGAAATATTTTTTGTCTCATCTAAAAAACTCAGAGTAATCTTTGAGGAAGTATAATTTGTTAGCTGAATTGAGGATTTCTTATTTGAAGTTATTTTTATTATTTAAACAACCCAGCTGGTGTCTTGTCTGTCCTTCTATGTAGCATGCCAGTGCACAAATCAGGTTAATAGTGGGGGGAAAGGTTCCTGGAGTCTCAGCATGGGTCCTGCTGCTTTCATCTGGAAGGTGACTCACTGAGAACCTTTCTTTATTGGTCACTGGGCCATAGGCAGGAAGAAATGTAAGTGGCAACCATGGAGAGGTTTGGGGTGAGGCTGAGTGTGACAATCAGGTGCCCCAGATGCCGTCACTACCTGCCGTTCCCCAGAGCATCCCTTGATCTGTGCAGCTGATAGGAGGGAGATGGGCAATAGAGAGATGCTGCAGGCATCACCTGGAACATGGCAGGGAGCACCTAGGCTCAAACTCCAGACGTAAACAGAAGAAAACACTTCCCTGCTCTGTATACTCTGTTCTAAAAAGCATGTTAGCCTTATGTGTCTTCATGTTTGGTAGCTTGAATTCACTGTCTTATTCCATTTTACTTATGTAGTTTCACCTTTTGGTAGTCTCAAAATGCAAATTTTTATTTTACTGGAATCAGTGATACAAAATGAATAGAAAAAGAAAGATGTAGTATTGTTTTTAAAGTTTTCAATCATTTGACACATCTATTTAGTTGAATATTAAACATGTAGGATATATTATTCTTTTGATAAGAGACCACTAGTACATTTCAAAAACTATTGATAATGACTTCACCTAACTTTTGTTTTCTAGATTTTACAGTCCCTTTCAGCACCCACAAAAAATTTAGAACAGCAGGTGAATCACAGCCAGCAGGGACATGCAAATGCCAATGCGGTGCTGTTTAGCCAAGTGAAAGTGACTCCAGAGACACACATGTTACAGCAGCAGCATCAGACCCAGCAGCAGCAGCAGCAGCAGCACCCAGTTTTACATCTTCAGCCCCAGCAAATAATGCAGCTCCAGCAACAGCAACAGATTTCTCAACAACCTTACCCTCAGCAGCAGTCGCATCAGTTTTCACAGCAGCAGCAGCAAGTCCCTCAGCATCAGTTTTCACAGCAACAGCTACAGTTTCCACAGCAACAGTTGCATCCTCAACAGCAGCTTCATCGCCCTCAGCAGCAACTACAGCCGTTTCAGCAGCAGCATGCCCTGCAGCAACAGTTACATCAGCTGCAGCAGCACCAGCTGCAACAGCAGCAGCTGGCACAGCTCCAGCAGCAGCAGCACAACCTGCTCCAGCAGCAGCAGCAGCAGCACATTCAGCAGCAGCAACTCCAGCAGCAGCAACTCCAGCGCATACACCACCAGCAGCAGCAACAGCAGCAGATGCAAAGTCAAACAGCGCAACATTTGAGTCAGACCTCCCAGGCGCCGCAGCACCAGATTCCACCTCAGCAGCCCCTGCAGCAGCAGCAGCAACAGCAGCAGCAGCAGCAGCTTTTTGGACATGATCCAGCAGTGGAGAGTTAGTAATGGGGCTTTTTTTTTCTCTCTTCTAAAAGTCTTGTACTTACATAAATGCTTTGAGAGTATTTGAGTATTTGGGGTAAGGATTCCTATCGACATAATGACCACAAAATGGAGAATGGGGATCTCATACGTAACAAGGAATATCATTATAACGGCATGATTATTCTTTCTTGTATGCTTTGGGACATCATGTACTGAAGTGAATGTTAGTGTTTCATAGAACATCTATGCTGACACAGGGACTAACCCAGAATATGTAATAGCCAGGTATAAATTATGTTAGTTGTAGTTTTTAATGATCACTTAATAAAGATAGTCAAACTAGTATATTTGTAGTGGTATTCCTAATGCACTCAGATTACTGGAAGATACACCATGGTCAAGACAGATTAACCTGATACATTCAGATTAAACCTGGAAAAATGGCACTTTTTAATTTTTGTGCAATCATATTCATAGGGTTTTAATTTTCTCATATATAATTCTATTCTAGTTCCAGAAGAAGGCTTCTTACTGGGATGCGTGTTTGCAATTGCGGATTATCCAGAGCAGATGTCTGATAAACAGCTGCTGGCCACTTGGAAAAGGGTGAGGTTGTGCCTGGAAGAAGTAAAATTTTGTATTTGAAGCTGTTCCTATCTTAACGTAAACTTAACTGTATTCATTTGACTGCATTTGCTGAGATTCATCTACATGTATTCTGAATGTGTTATGGGCATTTTTATTATTAACATTCTCTGTGACCTTGGGCAGATTTTTGAGCTTCAGTTTTCTCAGTGGCTGGGTAAATCTGTTGGATTTTATCATTCTTAAGATTCTTTCAGCTCTGAAATTCTAAGAAGCACTAATTATTTGTATATAATTGGGAATGTGGCATAAGATAAAGATTTTGGTGACTTAGGATAGGGACCATTAACTTGTATGTCTCTTAATTTTTGTTTCTCCAAAGGCAAGTGTTAGAAAATCTTAGAATCTCTAGGTTAGAAGGGACTTCCCAATTGTGAAACTATAGTTCATTGTTTATTATTTTGCATTTGACCTTTTAATAAATGAAAAAGTAGGCTGGGTGCGGTGGCTCGCACCTATAATCCCCACTTTTGGAGGCTGAGGTAAGAGGATTACCGGAGCCCACAGGTTCGAGACCAGCCTGGGCAACTTGGTGAGACCTCATCTCTACAATAAATCAAGAGAAATTAGCCAGGTGTGGTGGCACATACCTGTAGTTCCAGCTACTTGGAAGGCTGAGGCAGAAGAATCGCCTGGGCAACAGAGTAAGACTCCAACTCAAAAAATAAATGAATAAATAAGTAAATAAATGAGAAAAGTAAACACTTCTTTTGCAATGCCATTAATCAAATCTGAATCAAAATTTATTTTTGTAAAAACTAAACTTGAGTATGTCTCAGATACATCTTGAATATGCTTCACTATAAACATGCCTGGTGTTTAGACTCCTGCTATGTGCCAGGCATACCACAGGACCTGGAGAGTATGTGCTGAATAAACAGAAGCTGAGAAAACTATAGAGCAGTAGAAGAAACAGACACTGTCGTGGATAAATGGAAGCAGCAAAATAGAAACTGGTGTAGAAATAGACACAGGCTGTTACGAGAGCCTGAAAAAGGACCTTCACCCATTTGTCGGGGGTGGTGTGTTAAAAGTCTCCTGGCAGATGTGGTTTTTGAACTGAGTCCTAAAAGATAAGTTGGAGAAGAAATTAGGAGGAGGATTTTTCAGATAGAGCACCACAGACAAAGGCGTGCAGTTGCGTACACTGATAAGGAAAGGAGCAAAGGACATGCTCTGGGGATCCATGAGGCATAAGGGGCAAGAGACAAGGCTGGTATGACTTCAACACCTTTTTTATATGACACATTATGGAGTTTGGATATGTCTTCATATAGTCTTTAAAGCATGTAAGGGACAGGCGAAGTGATGAGCTGTGTGTTTCGGATAGTATGATGCTGGATCTTAGGTTGACCAGGGAGATATGTGGTTGACCGGTGCAGAGAGGCGGGTAGCCTTGGTACCCTTTGCCGGGAGCAGTTCTGAGAGTGACAGCAGCAGATATTTAAAAGTCAGAAGTGTCAGAAGTCAGCATTTAGAAACTGTCCTAAGAAGTAGAACTAAACTTAGATATGGAAGATAGTGCACAAAAGTTGGAGATTTTTTTCTTTTAAGTTAAAGGATTAGTCCAAGAAATCCAACATTAAATAAGAGGAGTTTGGGAACAAAGAAATTGAAAATACAGTTATGAAAGAAAATAGCTGAAGGACATGTGTCTCCAGGAATGACAAGAGAGCAATAATAAGGCAACTGAATGTTTAGAACACTTGAGCAGAAACTGTTTTCTATCAGAGAAAGAAAACTTAGTAGAGAGGAAAATGTGGAATGTTCAGGAGTCAGGACTGTTTGAGGCATCTCAGATGCAACATATGAGAGCTAGAAGACAACTGACAGTATCTTCAATATTTTAAGGGAAAATAATTTCTGACCTAGAATAATATATCCAGACTATCAATCATAAGACTGTGGAATAAAGATATATTTAGACTTCTATAGTCAAAAATGTATCTCCCTTCTACTTTTTCTTAGGAAACTACTATACCAGCAAAGAAGATATGGTAGCCAAGAAATGGGGAATCTGGCACAGAGATGGAAAGGGAACTCCTAGGATGGAAGTAAAGGGAAATCTCAATAGATGTGAAAGTAGGTCTAGAGAACCAGACTTGATACTGGAAAATGGAGTTCCTTCCAGGGGGAATGAATAAAAACAGATATTGATAGATTTAGAAGAAATGTATACAGTTGGCCTTTGAACAACCTGGGACTTTTAGGTGTCCATCCCCCATGCATTCAAAAATCTGTATAACTTTTGACTCCCCCAAAACTTAATTACAGATAGTTTGAAGCCTTGCCAATAAACTATCAAGACATTTTATATGTTATATGAGTTATATGTATACTGTATTCTTAAGATAAGCTAGAGAAAAGAACATGTTTGTAAGAAACTCATAAGGAAGAGAAAATATATGTACTGTTCATTAAATGGAAGTAGATCATCGTAAAGTACTTCATCCTCATCATCTTCACATTGACTAGGCTGAGGTGGAAGAAGAAGAGGAGAAGCTGTTTTTACTGTCTCAGAGGTAGCAGAGGCGAAGAAAATACGCATTTAAGGAGACCCATGTTGTTCAAGAGTCAACTGTGCTACAATAGTTTTCTATTTCTGTGTAATAAATTATCCCAGAACTTAGTGACTTAAGGTAATAAACATTCATTATCGCACAGTTTTGTCATGGGTCAGAAATCCTGCAGTGGGTAGAATCCTGAGATTGAGCTGGTTGTGACTCAGGCTATCCTGAGTCAGTTTATCTTAAGTCACATCAGTTATGATGTCGACTGGGGCTGTGTGAGTCACATCCAAGATGACTCCCTCATGTGACTGTGGGCTGGAGGCCTCAGCTCCTCACCTCTTGGGGCTTTTCAGAGGATTGCTTGAGCGTCCTCCCAACACAGTGTGAGTGACTCAAGATAGAGCAGGGAGGAAGCCACAGTGTAATCAGATCTTTCGTTACTGAGTCATGGGAGTCTTGTGGTATCAATTCCACCACCTTCTGTTAGTTAGAAGTGATCTACTAAGTCCAATCCATACTTGAGGCTAGGGAAATGAAGCTCCAACTCTTAGAGGGAAGAGTATAAAATAGTTTGTGGACATATTTTAAAACCATCACATACATATTTCTTTGAGGAGTTTGGGAATAAAATAGTGAAAGGTACATAAAAAACTAAGAAAAAAGCAGGTTGCAGGGGAAGAGTGAAATAAGTCAATTATTACCACCAGGGAATACAGAAGGTTATACTAGAAAGGAATTTAATCTTAGGGTGTCATATTAAACAAGTGGCTGAGCTGCATTGTATTAAATCCCCAAAGACTGATCTCAACAGGAATTGTGATATAGCCAAATTAGGAAGACTTGAGTGTGTATGTGTTGCCGTGTTGAAGGACAGCTTACATTGTAGGAGGTCAGTAAATAATATGTACAACTGGAAAACAAAGAAATAGCAACATGAAACATGTTAGTTAGAATATATTAGTAATTTTCAGAAGAAGCAGCTTGAAGAACTAAATGTGATCGCTTGTGGGAATGGAAAATGGGTAGGATAGAAAAACTGCTGTTTTGTTATATGCCTCATTAAACTATGCTTATGAGTAGATATCATAAAAATAAGCATTGCATTTTAAAAAGTAATTAATGGAACAGTGATTTTTTTTTTTTTTTTTTAGTGTACGGTATTGAATTTTGATAAATGTCTAGTTCCATGTAACCATCATAGGATGCAGAACACTTCCTTTACCCCCCCCCAAAACTGAATCTATTTTAAAAAATAAACATTTGGTATTTATTCCAATTTGCTTCTCTATTCTTTTTGGTGGGGTGGGATGGGGGGGTGAATCTTCCCCCATAGGACTTATTGCAATATCTGAAGATATTTTTAGGGTGGTAGCTACTGGTATGTAGTGGGTAGAAGCCAGGGAAGCTGCCAAACATTCCACAATACAGAGGACACCCCCCACAACACAGAAGTAACTACTCCCAAATGTCAGCAGTGCCTAGGCTGAGAAACCCTGGTTTAAAAGGAGTACATTCTCTTGGTCTTCTCTTTCTCTCTGGAAATTCAGATTATGAGTGTTGGAGTTCGTTTTCATTTTATTGGGCTGGTAGAAAAGTCTGTAAATACACATTCTTTATACCTTGGGGAAATATGTGATATAAGTATGCGATAGATTCTTTTAATTGCTGTCTTATTTGAAATTATAGTTCTGTTCTTTTCTCCTGAGTATCAAAATCGATGACAACTTTGGTTGGATCTTTGTATCTAGATAATCCAGGCACACGGTGGTGCTGTGGACCCCACGTTCACAAGTCGATGCACACACCTTCTCTGTGAGAGTCAAGTCAGTAGTGTGTACGCACAGGTAAGGAAAATAGCCTCGCCTGTCGCTGGAACAAAGTCCATCATTTTTCATATGCAGTCTTAAGATTCTAGTGATTATTATTTCTGGAAAGGACTTTTTCTACCTCTAAAAATAGGAAAGTTGCTTATTAATTTTTATCAACTCTTTATTGGGTTAGGTGTCTTTGAGGACATCATTGTCTCTGAGCAATGGATAAAGCAAGGGAAGTTCCTAGGTAGTATTAAGCGAAGGGTAGATACTTCTTCCAGGCACTACCCCAGCCACAGAGTACACAGTGGATGGAAGCAGGATTTCATATGATTGTATGACTTTGCCCACGAGGGCAGAAAGGGCAAATCCCTCATAGAACTTCTCTAAAACTGCTGAGGCACAAGCTTTCTCCTCGGTATTACTCTTTTTACCTCCTGAAACTTCTTTTTTTTTTCATAAAAATGTTATTTGTGGACAGCTTGATGTTAATGTGTATGTGGCAAATGGCCTTCAAGAAACCTCTCTTAAAGAGGATAGCCATTTACTGGATCTTCTTTTCTACTAAAAATGTAGAAATCTCTTTTAGGTGGATGGTTATATTTTTTAATACCTTGCCTTGTATCGGGCCTTCTGTGTTCTTACAGGAGATTTTGATTTTTGTTGATCATGAATGTTACCTCATTCATGATTAAAGTTATTTTTAAGGCTGTTAAGTAACATGTTACTTTTGTCCCATATTGCAGGCTCTTTCTAACAGATAGATGTAACATTTTCAGATTGTACTAAAAGTAGCCAACTACACTTTTATAGTTTGTTACTGTAGCAAATTGCATTCTAAATGTCATGAAATTCTTTTTTTGGGAGGCACACTTTTATTTATGGGGTTTCCAATAATGATGGCATTGTAGTCATACATCTTTACAAGTTTGTGTTTAATCTTGTAGCAAAAAAACAAAAATAACAAGCCTTTAATTTTATGTTTGATAGGCGATAAGAGAAAGAAAGAGATGTGTCACTGCACACTGGCTAAATACAGTCTTGAAGAAGAAGAAAATGGTCCCACCTCATCGAGCCCTTCATTTTCCAGTGGCGTTCCCACCAGGAGGAAAGCCATGTTCACAGCATGTAGGCAGAATCCTTTTCTTTCTTTAGGGATTCTTTTTCCTTAGCAAATAATCTTATACTAACTTACCTAAAGCTCCCCCATTGTCTTCTGAGTCAGTGCTTTGCTGTGTACTTGGGCCCTGTTTATAAGTGCCTGCTCATAAGAAATACTTTATTTTCCTTCAGTCCCCTATAACAATCACAGTTTTCTGAACATAGTAGATGTTTAATGGATTCTCCAGTGTTTGACACCATTGAAAATCCAAAAATAATCAGGTGTCTTGCATCAAAGGCAACCACTGCTGGGGAAAACTTCATCAAAGAAAAAAAAATTGTGGGTTCTCCCACTCAAGTGATCTCAGAATTGAGATCAGTAAGAAGAAAAAATTGACTCATATTTATATGCTTTATAAAATAACTGTTAAACTTACTTGAGTAATGGCATATTAACACAAAAAAAGATTTTTCTATATTTGGCATCTCCTGTTTATTCTTTTTATTTCTCCCTGTGAGGGCTATGTGTAGCATTTTTACTGTTAGTAAGATTCTGTTCTTGACATTTTAAGGAATGATTTTACCAATGTATCCCATAATGCCAAAAAATAAAGAAAAATATATTTATCAACTAAAAAGTAGAAGTAGTAGTACTTGGACTTAGATTTTGGGGTTTTTTTTTTAACCTTTTTGCTCTTTTTTTCTTTAGATTATTTCTGTAACGGGATTTGTTGATAATGACAGAGATGACTTAAAGTTAATGGCTTATTTGGCAGGTGCCAAATATACAGGTTATCTATGCCGCAGCAACACAGTCCTCATCTGTAAAGAGTAAGCAGGTTTTTGAAACCATTTTTCATCTAAATTTGCATACAATATAGTGATTATTTCAATAATTCTGCATTTTGTAGTATGTAATATTAATAGTTTTGGGGTAGAAATTTGTGGGAATCAGACTGTTAAATAAAGAATGCCAATGATTTATTCATGGTAATGTTAGAAATACCTATAAAATATTTGAATTAATGAAATTAGGTAACAGGCATTAGATAAAAGTACTAAGCATTCTTGTAATCTAGTGTGAGCTGTGAAATATACATGTAATTATCAGCCAGGGATCACCATCAGCTTTGCTTTCCACTTCTATTAATTATGAGAAATTTTTTTATTGGCTTTTGTTGAAAATAAATACAAATTTGGACAGACAACTCTAATATTTAATAAATGTGTTTTTCTTCTAAAAAAAAAAAAGACCAACTGGTTTAAAGTATGAAAAAGCCAAAGAGTGGAGGATACCTTGTGTAAATGCTCAGTGGCTTGGTGATATTCTTCTGGGAAACTTCGAGGCATTGAGGCAGATTCAGTATAGTCGCTATTCAACATTCAGTCTACAGGATCCATTTACCCCTACTCAGCATTTAGTTATGAATCTTCTAGGTAAGTGAAATTTTATGTACTATAAATTTTATTTAAATAAAGTTATTAGAAATGTTTCCACCACCTTTTTATTTATACTAACTACCATGCTTGACTTTAGCTTTTTAATCAATTCTGTATTTATTTCCTATTTCCTTTCCACACTCTTTTTTTCTCCTCACTTTGCCCAGGATTGTTGTTGTTTTGGTATTTTTGTTTGCTTCTGTTAGACTCTTAGAGATGGACGAGCACTCAGAAGCCTTTTTATAGTCTTGTCTCTTGAGCCAGTTATCCTTTGTCAAAAATGCCTTCTGCCCTACGGAACATTTTCCACTTTCCTAGAATTGATGTCTGTCTTATTTGTCACTGTCATGCTTTAACTGACTTGGTGTTAAATCTTGGATGTCTTGCCTCCTCTCTGATAGGCAGGAGGTTGTGTGCCTTTTTGGGCACAACTCCTTGAGGGGAGTACTGTCCCCATTGTAGATATCACAACACTGAATTTTAATTCTGCATTTACAGAATTGAACATTATTCAAAAAAAGGTCATTTTAACTTTGCTTTTACATTCTCTCTTACAGAAGCCCATTCTGGTCTTGGATGGCTTTAATCATGAAAAAGCTCTTCATTTTGAGTCATCCTCTGCATCCCTTTAATATACCTGTTGGTTTGACTTCAGCTCTGAAAGTATTGTAGAGATGACTATTCCTTCTTGCATAGACACCAGTCTCTAAATTTCTAAGGATGGCCCCATGTCCACTGTCCCCCACAATGTAGGCATGCGGGTCCCTTCAATCAGCATCTGTGTAGTGTGGTCCTTCCTATCAGCCACCTCATCATAAATGGCATATCGCAGGCCAGGCTGATACCCAGAACTAGACACAGGACTCTAGAACTGTCTAACCAGATAGCCCACAGTGGGAGAGTGAATACGATGGATCGAGACACAGTGTTTGCTTTGTTGTTTGCTGCTAGTTTGCTGCTAGTTTTCTTAGTGCTACTTCATATAGATTATATGCGTACACTGTAGCATCACAAGTGTCCTTATGAGTCCCTTTCCATGCCTCCCTCACCTCATACCGAGAAGCTTTTTTTTTTTTCCGAGTTGGAGTCTCACTGTCACCCAGACCGGAGTGCAGTGGCCACTCCCGGCCACTGCAGCCTCAACCTGCTGGGATCCGGCAATCCTTCCGCCTCAGTCTTCCAAGTAGCTGGAACTATAGGTGTGCACTACCACGCCCGGCTAATTTTTTATTTATTGTAGAGCTGAGGTCTCGCCAAGTTGCTCAGGCGGGTCTCGAACCCACGGACTCAGGCAATCCACTCACCTCAGCCTCCCGAAGTGCTAGGATTACAGACTGAGCCACAGAGCCCGACTCTGAAAATCTTTTTTAAAAAATTACGTATAGGCTGATCTTGGTGGCTCAGCTTATGATCCTCATACTTTGGGAGGCCGAGGTAAGTGGATTGCCTGAGCCTGCAGGTTTGAGACCAGCCTGGGCAACTTGGCGAGACCTCGTCTCTACAGTAAATTAAAAAATTAGCTAGGCATGGTAGCACACTCCTGTAGTTCCGGCTACTTGGAAGGCTGAGGCGGAAGGATCGCCAGAGCCCAGCAGGTCAACGTTGGGGTGACCATGGGTGTGCCACTGCACTCCAGCCTGGCTGACAGAGTGAAACTCCAAGTCAGAAAAAAATTGCATATAGTACTTTCATTTATCTTTATTAAGTGTTGTCAGCTGACCCACTTCTGTGTCTGTGGTGACCAGTCCCAGAGAAGGCTTTCACAAAAAGGCTTTTCTATTTAAACAATGTGTCATTAAAAGTAACATATTTCTTTCTTTAGATGCTTGGAGAGTTCCATTAAAAGTATCAGCAGACTTGTTAATGGTATGTCAAATTAATAACCTTACTTTGGATAATGTGTTATTAAAATGCAATATGGGTATATTTGTAAAATAAAAATTAATTTATAAATTTGTCAACATTGATTACAAATGAAGGCTGTATCTTCTTACTTTTTATAAAATGTTTAGTATATCCTGGATCTGTTTATTCTCTTCATTGTTGATGATATGATAATCAATTATTCACATATATACAAGGAAGGGGCATTAAGTGAGCCTTTAAGCAGGGGACTGTCTATGTTCTCATTTGTCAAGTATGATGAGTAAAACATCATTTACTTTTTCTGCTTTCTGTTTTACAATAATATTTACTAAGTTACAGACAGGACCATTTCAGTAATTTTTCACTTTGGGCTTTCTCTACTATTGTTACTTGTCATTGTTTGCATATCAGCACTGTGAGAATAGCAGTGTTTTTACTATTGGTCAGTAGTAGTTTAATTTAAAGGTCTAGATTTCTGTTCATGTTATTAAATATATTAACCTGTATTTTTTAAAAATTGACTTCATGTTGTGTGCCCACCGATTTTTTAAAATCACATTTCTCTCATCTACAGAGGTAACTTAGGGTTTGTACCCCTTGAATAACTAGTTGGGGAGAATATTCTCATCAGGATTACCAACTAACATCTAAACCTGTGTTCTGATTATTGATCTGACTTACTCATTTTCCAAATCTAATCTGGAAGCTGCTTATGATCATCCCTAGTCTTTCAGGAAGCATATATATATATATTTCGACCAATGTCTTATTTTCTTAATGCTAATGATAATGTGATCTCTATGTATTTTTTTTCCCCTGGCTTAAACTAGTAATTATGATTTTAATAAGACATGACCAGCTCTAACACATCAGCAAGAAGCAGATGTTCTCCCAGTTTATTCAGACAAAAGAAATTTTATGGTGACTTTTAAGATCAAGCTGAGGAAGTGGTCGTCAGAGTCTCCCTCCCAAACCACATGACTTATATTCTTAAATTGTGAGGGGCTCCAGATGTCGTTTTTTGTTTGTTTGTTTGTTTGTTTTTTGGTTTAGTGTCAGTATTAAAAGATAAAAATCTTAGAGACAAGAAAGTTACTTTCTCTGTCCCACTATATATTTCTTTTCTTGCTACCAATGAGTGGTAATTTGGAGACAGACTTAAGTGTGATCTTTGGAAATAGAGGATTGAGGGATTGTTTCCCTATAAAGGTGGTAATAAGAAAAAGTATAAATCTTCCTGCAAATTATTGTAAAGCCTGATTCTCTATGCCTGACAGAGCTAATAGATTTCAAATGCTTTCTATAGGCATGTTTATATCTATTTTTGGTTGTCTAGGTATAGCAGCAATATTTAGAAAATAGCAGCAATATTTAGAAAACAAGTAGTAGTTAAGGTAGATTAATAAGATTGAGGGGTAGTTGCTTCAAATAATATAACATGAACAAATAACATCTCTTTTTGAAAGAACCTCTGAGTTTAAAATATGAAGGAGTGAACAAGAAATAGATGCAGAATTAAGATGCTCACTGGTGGGAACCCCACAAGGGAATCCACCATCTTAATTCTCTCTCCTTGCTTGGCATGGCTCCTGCTCTAGGCTCAGGGACTTCAGCTGATTTCTGGAACATGACGTGGACATGTTCCAGAGACATAGCTTAGGTTTTAGCACCTTGTCTACTCTTAATAGCACTATTGATATGATTGTCATATAACCTCTTTTGTGAAACCTCATAGGTGAAATTTGTTTTAGGAATAGTTTTTTGGAGGGGGGATGCAATTGCAGTGATTACATGTTTTCTACACTCTATGTTGGGACACAGGAAAAATATTTGAAATGGAAACTGTTCTGAGAAGTTCAAGATTGAAAACTGCATGTATGTACTGTTGAAGAAAGAAAGGGACAAAGATATTTTAAAGCATTGAGATGATTTAGTAAATAAAGAGGTACAGCAAAAAATGATTAAGAGGTTCTCTCTGAAATATTAGCTACCTCTGGCTTGCATTGTCCTAGTTTCCTTTCAGGGCGAGTATTATGTGGTAAAGAGCATGATTCTTGTATGTGATTAAGCAGTTTGATTATTTGACACATAAATCTCTTGGAAGCTACTGTATTGCTTGAGAGATTGATTTTGATTAAAGTAGATAATGTTTTAATTACAGGGTGTAAGACTACCTCCCAAACTGAAACAAAATGAAGTAACTAATGTCCAGCCTTCTTCTAAAAGAGCCAGGTATGAATAATAACCTTACTTTTTTTTAAATGGTGGTCATCTTTCACAGAACTGAAAATTGTTGACAATTGGGGGAAGTTTCTCAAAATTTTTGCAGTAAATAAGATTTGGAAGAATTTGCTTTTTGCTTCACAACTATATTGTGATACGTCTCATTGCTAAAGATAGATGGTGAATAATGACATAGAACAGTATACTTTTTATTTTTTAAAAAATGAAATCTTTTTCTTTAAGCAACACATTACCAGAACTCTCCTACGTAAACAAAAGCTGCTGGAATGGGGTAGAAGGTCTAGAACCCAGCTTTGAGGTGCATCACAGAGCACCAGGCCTCCAGGGCCCTACTGAAGAACATGTTCAAGGTGCCAAGAGTGGGCTCATCTTAGGTGTGCTCCTTGGATCTGCTAGTTCTCAATGAGGATAAAGCAGCCTTAGCCATAGTGGAAAAGAGGATCAGATCCCTTTGGAATGGCATGTGCACTGCACACACATGTTGAGTTTTAGCTTGGGATGTACAGATTTAGATGCATACTGTTTTAGAGTCATCTGGGAAAGACTTGGTTGGCCAATACTAGTCAACAATGAAGTCCTGTCAGTCGTTTAATTAGTAAGGAATAAAAATGCAGTAGCAAACTAAGAGAGCTTTCTTCACTATTCTTGATTCTAGAGAACTCTTTTATTTCCTAACTGTACGCCGTGAAATATAGCTGCTTGAATTGTCTTTTGCAGTTACCAGTTTTCTCATCTTTTCTTTCCTTGCCATCACTTTTCTTCCTTCCCTTCCCCATATCCAGATCACAAACTGATCTGTTGACTTGTGTAGTAAAATGTTAATATATTGCTACAAATAAATTTTAAAGTAACTTTGTCTTGGACTGTCTCATCTAAATATAAGCTGAAAAAAGTGATTTGAAAAAACTTAACAGGAAATGTAAAAGACCAAAAGGTTTAATTTAAAATGTGTGATTGAGTGAAACAGCTTGTTTTATACCTTCTGGTAAAAGACAGAAGGCTAGAATTAAAATGAGACTGGAAGCTCTAGGCTCATTCCTTCTTGGCTGACTTGTGTTGATGGTAAATGTACAAACAAGGAGTGGTCTAAGTCACACAAGGTTATTTTTGAAACTCTATTTAAAAAATGAAGAGTGGACATTATAGTGGTTAAGCTAACAAAATCAGCAAAATTAAAAAGCAACTTTAATACTTACTTCCTTTTTAGAGCCAATTAAAAAAATTAATCGGGAAGGGATTGATGAGGAATAGAGTGCTGATCTTAACTACAGGTAAATTGGATGCCTTGGAGGTTTCAGATGTAGTCTTTTTTGAGGGATAACTTTGCAGAAATGGTGGGAAAGAAAGGACAGGTAGCTCATTACATCTTTCCTTTAAGAATAAAAACCACACACAAGCTCCAAGGTACTATTAAAGCTTGTTAAACTATTTGAAATCCTTTGTTTTCTAAAGAAAATGTTCACTTTAAGTAGATAATGAAGTCATCACTATTTTGTATGTATTTATTTCACAGAATTGAAGACATACCACCTCCCACTAAAAAGCTAACACCAGAATTGACCCCTTTTGTGCTTTTCACTGGATTCGAGCCTGTCCAAGTTCAACAATATATTAAGGTGAAATTTCATTCTACAATGTACAAGGATTTTTAGCAGTATTCCTTTCTATATATATTTATTTCAGGCCAGTTTATTAAACTTACATTTAGTAAACTCAGGAATATTTTGTTACAGCAGTCTTTATAGTGTATATTTTTGAAGTATTGGTAGTAGTCTTTAAAGTAGTAAATAATCATTAAATGTTTAATGACTGCCTTCCCTGTGCTTTTATTTCATACTTAGATATTTGCTGTCTTTTTTTTTTTTTTTTCTTTTTTGAGTAGGAATCTCACTCTGTCACCCAGGATGGAGTGCAGAGTCATGCTCATGGCCACTACAGCCTCAACCTGCTGGGCTCAGGTGATCCTTCCTCCTCAGCCTTCCAGTTAGCTGGAATGACAGGCGCATGCCACCATGCCCAGCTAATTTACTTTCTTTTTAATATAGGCCAAGAACCATTTTTTAGTCGTGTGAACATTCGCAAGGCTACCCTAATGTCATTTTCATAAAGACATCTAGCAGAAAAGAAGACTGAGCCTCAGCCAGGCTCGGTGGCTCAGCCTGTAATCCCAGCGCTTTGGGAGGCTGAGGTGAGTGGATTGCCTGAGCCCGCGGGTTCGAGACCCACCTGGGCAACTTGGTGAGACCTCATCTCTACAATAAATCAAAAATTAGCCAGGTGTAATAGCGCGTGCCTGTAGTTCCAGCTACTTGGAAGGCTGAGGCGGAAGGATTGCCAGAGCCCAGCAGGTCGAGGCTTCAGTGGCTGGGAGTGTGCCACTGAACTCCAGTCTGGGCGACAGAGTGAGACTCCAACTCAAAAAAAAAAAAAAAGAAGACTGAGCCTCTTCACGTTCTCTGACTGAAACATTGTCTACCCAAGATTAGTTGTCCTGGATAGAGTGAGGCCAATAGGGGGTTTATATATTGGTATAGATAATAAATGGGAACTGATTTGAAATATACTTTCTGAGATAACAGCCCAACGCATGATAGGATGTTGTTTTTTGGTTTTTGGGTTTTTTTTTGTTTTTGGTGGGGAAGGGTAGTTAAGAGTGTAAGTTGCTATATCATGTGAGATTTATACATTTTGCTCCTAATTTGTTTTTTAAGGAAAATAAACAATTACAAATACTATTTTTATAAATTTGGTGCAGTTTAATTTTTCTGCCTTTAAAATATGAGTATAGTTATTAAGAGGTCTCTTTATATATATATTCATGTCATATTCATGTTAATATGCTCATTAATACCAGTTTTAGCTTAGAAAGTCTGGGCATGTTTACTCTTTACTGTGAAGTGAAATGTGTCATTCTCATGTCCTTTTATTTATTTATAGAGGTGTGTTATTGGTGTTTGCTGGATAATTTATATTTTGATCTTGATTTGTGGAAATGATTACAGAAACAGTAAATTCTGCTTTTTATTTTTCTTCTGTAGTTTTATGGGGTTTGGTCTACCTGTCATACTGTTTTCTGTGGCTGAGAAGTACATTCAAAACCTTATCTTCAGAGAGGTATTCCTCTGTGTTCCTCTCTGTTGATTTGGCTGTAAAGAGGCCTAACTTTTTCATTTCCCACCTGTGTTTGTGACCTTTAGAAGCTCTACATTCTTGGCGGAGAGGTTGCAGAGTCTGCACAGAAATGCACACACCTCATTGCCAGCAAAGTCACACGCACTGTGAAGTTCCTAACGGCAATTTCTGTAGTAAAGCACATAGTAACACCAGATTGGCTGGAAGAATGCTTCAAGTGTCAGAAATTTATTGGTAAGTAGCAGCATCAGTAACTTTGTTTTTAATGCCAAATAAACTTTCATTTTTTTTGGTATTTATCTCCCTTTTCATCCCAACAAATACTTGTTAATTTTTAAATGGTTTAATCGCTATTTATTAAAATGTATAAATTTATTTCATACCCCAGTGATTGCTTAGGTTGAAATATTTGCTTTTTACCATGAAATATAAAGGTTTTGGTAATTTGTACAATATTGGGGGAAAAATAGTCTCTGTACCCCTCTTTATTAGTGTATTTTGTTAAGAAATCTAGCTGTAAAATGAGAGTCTCACAATGCAGGAAAGTATTTCTTTATTTGGAAAGAGCAAATATACACAAACGTTCTGGTATAGTTTAAATATCAGTTTATATAGGAGGAAAAAACATCTGCCTCCTTTGGTCTATCTTCTGTCATTCAGAGCACCAAAAGAGAATTCTTCTTACTAGCAGTCATATTTAGAGATGATATATAAAAGATAGTTTTTTTCTTAGATTGATAAATATACCTAAATGTTCTTAGAACCTTGGTAAGTATTAAATGCTTACGAATTCTAAATGATTTTTTTTTCTCTATCTAAGCTATATAGCAAAGGCAACTATGCACCTTTATTGTTCTGTGTAGCAGTGGCATCACCCTTTATCTGCAGGACTGGTGTCCTTGATCCATCCTATATCTCCATGGTTGATGTCCCCAGTGTACCTTTTATATTCAGGGTTGGTGTCCTCAGTGCATCCTTCATCTCCATGGTTGGTTGTCCCCTGTGTGTCCTTTATTTGCTGAGTTGATGTCCTTGGTTTATCCTTTACCTGTAGGGTTGGCATGCCTTTATCTGCAGGGTTGTGTCCCTGGTCCACTTTTCATCTCCTGGGTTGGTGTCAACAGTGTATCCTTTATCTACTGGGTTGGTGTCCTGGTTCATCTCTCATCTAGAGTGGTGTTCCCAGCGTATCCTTTGTCTCTGGGGTTGGTGTCTCTGGTCTGTCCTTTATCTGCTGGGTTGGTGTCCCCAGTGTGTCCTTCATCTCCAGGGTTGGTGTCCCCAGTTCGTCTCCTAGGCCAGGCATCTCTAACCTTCCTCAGTTCTCACCTGACCCCTAGTCTGGGTTGAGCAGGTGTAGAGGCACCTACTCCTGGACGCAAGCTTCACCGAGCTCTCAAGTTTTGTTTCTCATTTGCTCTTTATACCCGAACCACACTGGCACCAAAACTGTACTCTGGGGCTTCCCTGTATGTAGCAGTAGTATTGATTACCAACCTCTCATTGAGATCATCCACATTTTGTGTTTCTCTGTCAGTGGTTTGACTTGTATTGATGTGTTCTCACACTTTCTCACCTATGCTCCCTTTGCTCCCCACCCTTTAAGCAGAATGATGCAGATGCTAAAGGATGAAAGCAAGGTATGTGGCCGTGGGGCATACAAGCTCTGCAGGGACACAGATGGTTGGCACCACACTCTTCTGGCTAACCTGTCCTTATTTATCACTGAATGGACACGAACCAGTCTTGTTAAATTAAAATATTTTAGATCTGTGTCATTTCTTGGGCTGCTGGTGCTTAAACATAATTCATGTTTGTGTGCATAAATTAAAACAGTAGATATAAGTTCAAATAGCCTAATTTTACAGTTGAGAAGTTAAGATCCAGAAAAATAAGGATATTTAAGATTGCCAGGCTTAGTGGCTCATGCCTGTAATCCCAGCACTTTGGGAGGCCTAGGCAAGGGGGAATTGCCTGAGCCCAGGGGTTTGAGACCAGCCTGGGCAACTTGGTGAGAGCTCACCTCTACAATTAATAAATTAAAAAAAAATTGGTCAGGCATGGTGGCGTGTGCCTGTGATTCCAGATACTTGGAAGGTTGAGGTGGAAGAACTGCCTGAGCCTAGCAAGTCAGGCTGTGGTGGTTGTGAACGAGCCACTGTACTCCAGCCTGTGTGACAGTGTGAGACTCGACTCAAAAAAAAGATTGCTGTCTACAGCATAACTAGAACCAAACTTAAACTTCAGTCTAAGGCAATAAAATAATAAAACATAGGAAAGAATAAATCATTTATATGAAGAAAAAACTATATCGTCAACCATAGTATTCAGGCAATACTTGTTATTCGCAGTACTTATGTTCTATATAGGAGTTAATTTCCTTCACCATTTTAAAGATTTTCAAAAAAAGCATTATGTAGAAGCATATTGATCCACGTGATCCACACTGCTCATAGTTGTGATATAATTTATAGAGTCATTTCAGGCTTTTTGATATAATATTTTCTCCATGTAATGTTCTTGTGGTAGATTTCATTCATGTATGATTCCAAGTGCTGAGAATTGTAACAGTCCTTTTGTCCTTACACTCAAGAAGCGTAAGATTATTTTTCCTATATGCTACTGTTTTTTTTTGTTTGTTGTTGTTGTTAAAAACCTTGACTTTTTGATTTGTGCTGGTATTCCTTTTTGATTGACTTTGTACCAGTAAGATGACATTTTATCTTTAGTGGCTCTTTTTCTAGGACAATACTAGTATAATATCTGTTAGTAAACGTGTGGTATCCTGCTGCATTGGGAACTTTTTCCAATAACTTTTTATATAAATGTAATATATAAAAATTACAGGAAAATTAGGTCAAATGATGTTTTCAGATGTAATGTTGCCATAGTAGGGAACTACCGAAAAAAGATACCGTTTTTGAATTAGTTAGCACATAAACACGTATACCCCATTTGGTTGGCTTATTTAGAGTTTATATTATAAGTGATATTTGCCCTTTAAATTGAACAACAAATTTGTCAACATAAATTAGCTGATCTGGTATGAACTACTATGAAACTTTTGAATTGATATATTTCAAATAATTAATGGCCTTTTAAATACAAGTTCTGATCTCATCACTCGATGTAGGTGTTTTCAAATGAAGTTTCCAGAATATTTGCATAAACTTTTCCCTATGGAATATTTCCAAAAGGAAGAGTATTTTTTTGTTGAAAGCAGTTGGTCAGTACTCTTGCAAATTTGGTACTTGAATTAGTCCCGTTTTTTAGGATAACTGCAAGAAAAGCTGAAAATTCCTATTGGTCAACATCATGCCACTTAAGCCAAATCAATTTGTGTGGTAGCTGTTTTTTCTTATTTTTTTATCCATGTAATGATTTATTACACTATCCCCCAATTCATTTATAAAATACAGAGGAAAATAGTCAATCGGTTTTCTTGTATTACTTGCTATTTGTGGTCCTGTCATTTGAGGATGTATAACAAAATTTATTCTCACTGGAGGATCATCTTTTTCTGTAACATTTTTCCCTCCCATTCTTCACTTGACGATATGTTGTCTTCTACTTTTTCAAAACTACTAACATTTTCATCACTCTTACTTTTTTTACATTTGCCTTTTTTCTTCTTGGTGGGATGATATTGCTATCGCTACCATCATTTTCTTCCACATCAGTGTTTATTTTTCCTAGAATATTAACACTAAAATATATTTGTTTAAAAGTCTAAATCTAACTCACCTTCATTGCTCTTATAACTCTCACTTTGTCTTTTCATTTTGCCATTGTTCTGCAAACTAAATAAATGCAAAAAAATTTTCTAAATGTAAATTATGAAATCATGAAATGAAATTTATTAAATTTTCTAATTTTACTTTTCTGACTTAGTACAGATAGATATCTGTGGATATCTGTGGATCTATGCTGCTCAGTACTTCAATATGATCTGCCTTCAACTTTGAAAGTCTTTCTTTTACGGCTACAGTAACTTTCTTTTTTTCTTTTTTTTTTTTTTTGAG